GGCTCCATCCTGCGCGCCCCCTCCCGCCCCCCACCTCAGCTGGGCAGCCCCTACCCAACTCCCTCCTCACTGCAGGGGCTTTGAACTGCACCCCCCGCACCCTTTCCTCTCCCCTTCCCTCTAGCCTTCTACCACACTAAACTTACCAGCAGCACGCAGCTATTCACGCTGTTGGCTGTGCTCCTCACTGCCTACGTGCTACACTGCGGCTGTGCACATGCATGGGCCATTTATCACATCAGGCTGATTTCCGATACAGACAATTTTCTTTATATCGGTGCTGATCCAATATCGGACCGATGTATTGGTGCACCTCTAGTTTTGGGCCAATCTTCTAATTTGTCTAGGTCCCTCTGAATCTTATTCCTCCCCTCCAGCATATTTACTACTCCTCCCCAGCTTGGTGTCATCTGCAAACTTGCTGAGGGTGCACTCCATGCCACCTTCAAGATTGTTGATGAAGATAATGAACCAAACTGGCCCCAGGACTGACCCCTGGGGCCACTTGATACTGGCTGCCAACTAGACACTGAGCCATTGATTAGTACCTGTTGATCCTGACAACCCAGCCAGCTTTCTATCCACCTTACAGTCCATTCATCCAACCCATACTTCCTCAGCTTGCTTGCAAAAATGCTGTGGGAGACAGTATCTCCTCCTCTAAGTGCTTAGAAAAGGATTCTTTGAGGACCTGCTCCATGATTTTTCTGGGGAACTGAGGTGAGGCTGACTGGTTTGTAGTTCCCTCTTTCTTCCCTTTCTTAAAGATGGGCACTATATTTGTCCTTTTCCAATTGTCCGGGACCTCCCCCTATAACCATGATTTTTAAAAGATAACAGCCAATGACTGTAATCACAACAGCCAACTCCCTCAGCATCTGGCCCCATGGACTTGTGCACATTAAGCTTTTCTAAATAGTCCCTAACCTGTTCTTTCACCACTGAGGGCTGCTTACCTTCTCCCCAAACTATGCTGCCAGATGCAGTAATCTGGGAGCTGACCTTGCCTGTAAAGACTGAGGTAAAAAAGGCATTGAGTACTTCAGCCTTTTCCGCATCATCTGTCACTAGGTTGCTTCCCCTATTCAGTAAGGTACCCACATTTTCCCTGACCTTCCTCTTGTTGCTAACATACTCATAGAAACTTTTCTCATGTCCCCGGCTAGCTGCAACTCCAATTGCGCTCTGGCCTTCCTGACGTCATCCCTGCATGTCCCGCTGCACTTGGCAGGAAAGACAACTGGGGTCAGGTGACCTCAGCAAGGTGACTGTCCAGTTTCCTCTTGAAGATTTCCAGGACAAAATTTCCAGGTGGTGACTGCACCACCTCTGGAGGGAGTTTATTCCACAGTCTGGACACCCTAACTGTGAAGAAGTTTTTCCTAGTGTTAAGTCTGAAACAGCACCACTGAGCCTGTAAGTATGTTGGGGATTGTTCGTCCCCAGATGGAGCACTTTACACTTCTCAATGTTGACCTTCATCTGGTTCCAATCTGTGCACCTTGCCAGCCTGTCTAGTTCTGCCTGCATCTGCACTCTATTTTCAAGCGTGACCACACTTGGTGTCACCTGTGAACTTGGCCAGTGAGCTCTTCTCCCCCACATCCAAATCATTGATAAAGATGTTGCAAAGCAATGACCCCTGAGGGACACCACTGGCCACTTCTTGCCAGGATGACACAGATCCATTCATTAGGACTCTCTGGGTCCTACCCCATAACCAGCTTCCTATCCACCTAACTGTCAAGCAGTTAAGCCCGCAATCCTCCAATTTTCCTGGGTTAACATCATGGGATACCAGATCAAAGGCCTTTTGGATGACATATAGAATGTCGACCTTCTCTCTCTTATCCAAATGAGCAGGGGTATGCACTTGCAGTGGCTCAAACGTTTGTGCCACAACTTTGTGCTGCAGTACATGCCTCTACACATGCCCTTTGTTGTGGGCCGTGCCTACCTCCTGGCTCTTGGATGGGCTCCATGTGCTGCAGGGTAGGAGGGCTGGCTGGAGCATGGGGCGCATCAGTGTGCAGCTAGCTGGCCAGGGAGCAGCACACAGAGATGGGGACTGCCTGCTCCCGTCTCCGCGTGCTGCGGAGCCCCAAGCTGAGGTACACTGTGCCTCAGCCAGCTACTCCATAGCTGGCTGGGGAGCAGTGTGCCTTGAGACTGGGGAGCAGGCAGCCCTGGGTTGGCTGCTTCCATCTTCCAGGCACCTCAGTGTGGGGGCTCTGCTGTGAAGCAATCATGCAGAGGCACATGGAGACCCTGTGCCGAGGCACACTGAATCCCAGCCACCTGCGGAGCAGCTGACTGGGGTGCAGTGTCCCTTGAGATGGAGGAGCACGAAGCCATGGGCTATATGCCGCAGCCCCAGGGCCCCACATGTCTCAGCAGCACAATGCACCCTAGTGCAGGGACTCTGTAGCATGTGGAGACGGGAGAAGCAGGCAGCCCGGGCCTGCCTGCTCCCCCATCTCCACGTTTGTCCCAGTGCATGCTATTTTAATATGTTTTGCACCACTTTTTGTGCCTTTTTTTTTTCCTACCAGGAAATCCCAGTAGCAAATTTTTGGCCCTGCTCTTCAAATATGCACCGCAGGACACATTTTAACATTCGCTGTGTGCAGTTTGCAGCACCACAAGTTACATGTGCCTACATGTCTAGATATGCTCTCAGTGTCCAAAGGAATCCCCACATGAGATGCAAAGGAGCTGACAGGCAGTTGATTGTAAAGAAAAGAGAGAGAAAAGGGTGTGGCAGAGAAGGTGAAAGTGATTGAGAGTGCATGGTCAGTTTTCTTACTTCTGCCTTTTACCTTCTGAGGCTGGGACTGGAAATGTACATTCTACCGCTAACTTTTTTGGGTGGGATAAATAACTATCACCAACAGAGCAATATAAGCAGCCCCATTCCACATTTCTGCCAAGAATTTAAGGGAATAAAGCAGAATGGCAGTGGACAAAGGACAAGTGTTCGGGCAGGAAGATAGTGACAGTTGTTCTTCCAACTTGTCCATTGTTCAAGTGAAAATCTGCAATCCAAGGACAGGAGCACTGAAGGCTCTATTCCGCCACTAATTCTTCTTCTTATAGGAAAGTGCATGTGTAGGAGACAAAGCAACCACTAAAGGGCAGGAGCCAAAGCTAGAAAATCATGAGACTGCCAAATGTATGGGAGAGAACAAGGAAAAAAACTGGGAAATGGCAGCGTTGATATGCACCATTTTAGAACTTCCTAAGATTGGAGGGCGGGGGGGAAGAGGAGGGTGTTTGCCAGACTGGGGCTAAACAGAAAAAAGAAAAAAATAAATAATAGGTTTACAATGGAAGAACTACAGCCTGGACTAAGGAGTCACTGCTCTACAACCACAATTCCTGCCAGAGGCCAGAGTTTCAAGATGACTCTCTCTCTGCAACGTACATTAGCTTCTTCCAGAATTATGGATCCTTAGCTCTTCAGAAAACAAGGCCACTTCCTGGTAATTACAGGTAAGACATAAAATTTATTCTGTGTCTGGGAAGGGCAACCATCAATAACTGTATTACTCTTATCCTTCCACCCAGCAATATAATGTACAGATGGACAAATGAATAATTTGATCTTTACAATATGTTCTTTGTGCTTAAGAAGCATGTGTATCTGCGTGCATATACATGCATGCACACAATTCTTCAGAAAAAAAATCTTTAGAAGAAATTTAAAAGAAATAAAAGGAGAAGTCAAGAAACTGAACATTTTTGACAAGTTAAAAAACTAAGTGGAACAAATTTGCAAATATATGGTCCTTAACCTTTGAGGTTAAAATAATTTAATTATTAAACATTACTGCTGGACTGGAGTGAAAAAGCACTTGAAGTCAAATAAAACAAGATTTGGATTATATGCTACAAAAATCAGAATGGTAAATTCTTTAAGGAAAAGATACAAGTATCTTCTCTTCTTACCTGTTTTGACAGCCAAGTGTTGAAATTCCTTTGGTATTGTTTTGGCAGTAGTGCTTATTTTCAAGGCTTAATTAAAAAAATAAAACATTAAGAGTTATTTTAAATTAAATTATGTACCAGAGAATTTAACTGTCTAACTTTTCAAGCTTTGATTAAACATCCTATTAATAATACCACTTGATGGTCACATAACCTTTCAGATACTTAAAATAATTATACATCCATTAGCTGATATATTCTCTTAACAGCTTGGGAAGTGACTATTGCCTTTATTTAAAAGAGAAAAGAAAAAAAAAAAGAGCCAAGTGGTTTGGGTCAAGGTTGACAAGTAAGCACTGTATTTGGGTATCCTAATTGAACCAGCAAGGACATAATTTTCAAAAGGATGAAGTCCTCTCAAATCTAGACAATGGGAGGCTGGTAAAACTCAGCAGTCAGCAACTTCAATTGTTCAAACTTATCCATTCCATGATGGAAACCTTAAAGCTGAGCATGCTCAACATTTGGAATTGCTTTAAACAACTTGGGCTTAAGCCACTTGCCTTTTGACACATGGTGAGTCACTGACAGATCAGAATTCCAGTTTCTGATTCCTTGCATGCTTACAGATGTGGGAAAAACCCTAAACAAACAGTGCTTTACTTTCAGCTCAGCATGCCCCTTTACTGAGCACAGCACAATGCCCAGAAGAGGCATCACATCAGTTTGATCCGGCTCAGCCAGCATCTGTACAGCTCATGTGCTTCAGCTAGGCTTTTTGGTGCTTTTACCTAATAGCTGATTCAATCAGCTTAAGCCAAAGTTGTTGATTCAATCAGCTATTAGACAAAAGTGCCAAAAAGCCCAGCTGAAACACACAAGCTATACATACACTGGGGATCCGGGTCAAACTGACACAACTCCTTTTTCAGTAAAGCGCTGGGGTTTTTTTTCCCACATCTGTCAGCGCCCCATGTTTATTCCTCTAGAACAGGTTTAGACCTCAACATCTGTCTTCCACCAACACATATACATCCTGCATCAAATGCAGGAGGTATATTTTGGTAAAACTCAGTTCACCTCCTTGTGTCCCAAGTAAATAGACATTACCTGGATACAGTCTGATTCTCCAGCTGCATCATTATGGAAATCTAAGGAATTTATGTTTGCATTCTCAAATGCAATGCCCTGCCTCCTGATTCCTTAGAAGTTGTTCTTCAAAACAGCAACTGGAGGAGCTCTTCTGTTCTGTTTTTATTTTGTTATAAAATAAGAACAAGCACAGCATCTATACTTGAAACCATGCTTTGGTAACAGACAGAAGCTTTTCCTTAGCCATATGTACGTTAATTTGTAAATATTATATGACAAAACCTCATCTTTTTATGGGGCTACAAAAAATGAGCAGTAGATCTGCAGTCAGAGATGGATCTATGCTAAAAATATAGACTTTTCTGGGATGTATATGAAATCATCGTTGGTTATTTTACTACCTTGATAGTACATGTCCTACCACCTTTACTAGAGCTCGTTGGGAATTTTTTGACGAAACATGATTTCATTTGAAAATGCTGATTCACTGAAGCTGAAACATTTCACAGAAATGTATCGGTTTCTGCAAACATTCTTTAAAGTCACAGATGGGCTCCCTTCCAGCTTATCCGAAAGACTATTGAGGAACCTGGATTTCCAAGAATTGTGGCTGCATGTTGACTACTGTTGGACCAGGCAGGCTAAAGCTTCCCAAGGGTCACAGCGCTAGGGCAAATTTTAAAAGAATTCTATCAATTTTGGTTTTTGCTTGTCATTGTTATAAATCTTTAAGATGTGCAGTAATGCATGAGTGAATCAGCAACAGGACATGTCCACAGATTTTGTTAGCAAACATAAAATGTCCATTTACATTTAAAACATAACCAATAAAGGAAAAAGGCAAGATACTTTGATTCCACTACCTTGCTTGTCATCACTATTTGCAGCTTGTGTCAGGGCAGATTTATCAGACACCTCCTCAACTGATGTCTTCTTACCAGAGAAAGAAAGAAAACTGATTTATTCTACAAACCAACACAATAAATGCACACACATACTCCCATATTTAAAATGGTTACATGTAAATATATAGTCTCTCCTGCACCAAGTTATGCTTGGTGTAAGAGACGTGGAAAGGGCCATCAGGGATCCAATTAGAGCTCCTTACTCCTGAAGTTAGAGCAGCCTTGGGACTGCTGTAACTCATGACAGGTTGTCAGTGTGTGATGGTGCCTGGGGGCATGTCTGTGCTGCACCAGACCTTCCTAGGAAGCGCTGCTGTGAAAACATACACACACTCCCACTTCGTGCATTCCAAATGCCAAAAAAAATAATGCAGTTGCTTTTAAGTGAGCATCCACTGTCATTCTGATGGCAGGAATATGGGTTTTTTTCAGTATTCGCCACACGCAGACTAGGAATGAATGGGTAGGGCATGCTTTCACAGCGGCACTCCCTAGCATAGTTTGGCATAGTGTACGCATGTCTCAAGGGACTGTATGCCAGCTGAAAATTCTCAAAAGGGCTTTAAAAAAATTCAGGTTTCATAGGGTTTTTTAAGTTTTGAATTTTAAAAAAATCAAAAGGCTTTTTCAGTTTAGGACCTGGAAATCCATTTTATGAAGTGGCAAGCAGGTTTCAGAAGCTGTTTAGCTGGCAATAGCACAGAAAAACCACTGTGCATTCTTTGAAAACGTATGGGCAAGCATCTTAATATCCAGCTTAACCATGCCATCTTATGTGTATGACAAAGTACTATAATTACAAGGGTATGGTAGAATAAAAAATGGTCACTAACTGGCTCAATAACAGAGGTCATCACATCAAACAGAATCAATGGCTCTGAGTTGGTTGGATCTTCACAAACAGTTTCAAGCTGAATTAAAGAAAAAAAAACCAAAGATGTTGGTGGGAAGACAAAGAAAAATCTTTGTGTATTAACAGGTCAGTAGCTTCAGTTGTCCTTTCCAGGAAGAGCTAATGTGAAATTCAGATTCATACTTTGATAATAATGATGGCTGCTTGCAGATGTTGGAAAAAAACCCCAAAACACGCCTACTTTAAACTCAGCATGCTCCCTGGCTGAGCCCAGTGCATGCCCAGAAGAGACAACTGGACCCAGCTCGCCAAACATCTGTATAGATAGGGCACTTTAGTGGGGCTTTTTGGAGCTTTTATCTAATAACTGATTGACTCAGCTTTAGATAAAAGTGCCAAAAAGCCGGCACCCAATCTATACAGCCACTGTGGAGCCGGGTCAAAGTAACGTGCTGCTGCTTCCAGTCAAGCTCATTTTGGGGGTATTTTTAACGTCTGCAAGCAGCCTGTTTCAAGAGTCTAGCTATGGAGCCTCAGTAGCTTAGCTGCAATGTTAAGATAGGGTCCTTGTATTTTACGAGAAAGCGGGAAAAACAGCCACTGACTCTGATGGACTTAAGGTCAGGCGCTATTCCCAGGAGGAGTTTAAATTTCACTTCCTTCCATCCCTACCACAAGGAGTTCCATGGACATTATGGAGTATCTTCTGTCTTGTTTTTGAAGGCAATACACATCTCTAAGCTATTACCAGGGGAGGGTAAAGGTTGGGTGGAAAAAAGGAGCAAAAGGAAAACATGGGACCACAAGGAGAGTAGCAAGGCTTTTGGAATGCAAAAACTGGAGAAAAAAATAGGATAAAAAATATATGGGAAGAGAACACTCTTCCACAGTAAAAGATTAAATGAACTGATCCTTTACAAAACATATGGAAACAGTTTGCTGTTATTTGAGGATTAGTACTGCCCGTTTTCCAGGTGACCCATTTCCTACCATAACTCTTCATAACTTAACTCCAAGAAATTGCCTTTGCATATTTCAGCAATTATAATAAGAGATGCTCTCCTAAAATGAATTTAAACAATGTGAATATATGACATGGAAAGTGCAGGAGACAGCGAGAACACACAACTGACTGCATTGGCAATACAATATTTCTAATCTTTAGTGATCACATCTAAACTACAATTCTTGAATAGCCAAGCCACAAATTAAATTACAGAAGTGAATGACTGTACTTCCCACAGAACCCTTTCTAAATTATATTTACACCGTATATTAGTTTTGAAAATAAAAACATTAGTTATGATGAAAACTACACTGCAGCCAAAACCATTTCAGGTCAGTTTTGAGAAGGTTTTACCACTCATTAATCCTGGATAATGAAGCACAGCTAAGCTCTGAGAGCACTCACTGCTACAGCTTAGCATTAAAACCTTAGGCTGCTTACAGACGTGGAAAAAAAACCCAAAACAGTGTTTTGCATTCATCTTGGCACACCCCCACACTGAGTGCAATGCATACCGAGAAGAGGCATGACGTTAGTTTGACCTGGCTCACCCAACGTCTATATAGATCGTGCACTTCAGTAGGGCTTTTTGGCGCTTTTATCTAATACTGATTGAATCAGCTATTAGATAAAAGTGCCAAAAAGCCTCGCTGAAGCACCTGATCTATGCAGATATTGCGGATCCCAGTCAAACTAATGTGCTTCCTCTTCTGGTAAAGCACTGTTTGTTTGGGTTTCTTTTCACGTCTGTCAGTGCTGTTAGGGCCCAGAGAAAAAAAGTGTGTGATGCTGTTGACAGTTAAACAATCCAATCAATTACAATAGAGTTTAGGTGGCACTTTCTATCACAGCTAAGAGATATTTATTCTATGCATTTCCTTCTATTACTCAAACAATTAAATCGAGGGAGAAAAATTGTTTTATGGTACTTATCAAAGGAAGGGGTGAACAGTAGGACACCAGACACAGTGTAAAAGGGAGAAATGAAGAATCAGAACGCTGATCTAAAATCAGGACTTCTCTACTAAAATAAATAAATAGGCCATAAAGTAAAAAGCATGGGATTATGTTGTGATTGTGGAAAACAGGTGTTTATAGAAAAGAAGAGTGCTTTTTACATATAGAAGAAGTACAGGTAAGTGTGTCCTAAACCCTATATGTTTATAAATTAAATTTATAATTAATGATGAATATGCAATTTTGGGGGCTTATGAAAATTTTCTGTTGTACACTCAGAGAAGATATTTTATTACTATTCTTACCCCTACTCCAATGGGAATTACTAAAAACATGAAAGCAACTTCTACAGGTCCCAGCATTTACACTCATAAGGAACAAACTTTATCATTAGTGCACAGAAGAAAGAACAATCCTCTCCACAGTCTGAGTTAGTTTGTGAAGCTAAGAGTTTAAAAATAAAAGTAAGAAGAACCTCATAGATATGGAAATAGATAGAGAAACTAAGAAGTTATGTGAACGTGAGATTGTTTTCTTTGTACAAGAATAAAAGTATGTCACCTGAGGGATATGGCTAACATGTAGGGCACTTTAAAACAGATCAGCTATCAATCTAGCACAGGGGTGGGCAAAATGCAGCCTGCCAGGCCATTCTATCCAGCCCGCAGAGCCCCTAAACAATTTAGAAAATTAATATTTATCTGCCCTTGGCTGCCCCTCATACAGCCCTCGATGGCTTGCCCAAACTCAGTAAGCAGCCCTCCACCTGAAATAATTGCCCAGCCCTGATCTAGCATCTGGAGGTCTCCCTTCTAACCACAATCCCTGTCAGACGCTGGATGCTTCTGCGTGGAACTGAGCAATACTCCACTTTGAAAAGAAGTTTCTCATAACTCTGGTTGCTGATTAGTTTATGGCCTCAAATACATGGATCCATGAAGTTTATACTAGCTAGTTCAATTGCAGTATTCCCCCTTTATGTTAGTCTAACCTTACTCTTTTGAGGATACTTACTAAGCTATTTACCTCCACAAATCAATGCAGCAGTATGTTCTACTTATCCACTTATGTTTTTATTTCAAGAGTCTCATTCAGAGTGCAATGAACAACAAGAATTGCCTTCAATGGGACTCATCTAGGCCTTAAGCACACCTGTATATTTAACCAAGCAGAAGCTCCCAACTTGTACATGTACAGTATAAACTTA